ATAGCAGATTGTGAGATTTATTTCTGTGCTACTGAAAGTTGGCTGTGAAGTTGCCGAGAAAGAGTTCATCAGATCTACTCAAAACATATTTTAGATAATTTCTACCACGTGATTTAGTGCTTGACAAAGTAAGTATTACTTCAGCTAATTTTTACCCTTCCACATATGGCACCTACATGTGAAGTTTGTGTTTAAGTTAAGAGAATTCCTGCTATTTTGGGTGGTCATTTAGAAGGTGGGGTCACAATTCACATGTGTGGATTTGTACAGAACTGAGTTAAAGTTGGTCATGTCTGAAAATTATCTATATTTTTATAAGGTAGAGTAGATATAGAAAGTGTAGAGTTCTCATTTTCATGCAAACTTGTATAGGTATTTGACTGAAGTGTAGGAGAATGAAATTAAAAAGGAGAAGGTGATTGACCAGAAGCAGAGAAATGGTCAAAAGGAAAATAAGAAATTACACGTTTCTGTGCATTATGACGTCTGTACAGATTGCAATTATTCTTTCTACTTGTTTGATATTGGCCTTTTAGGTTCATTCAGTCAAACACTTTGAAGACTTTGATCTACTGTGGAAAAAGTTGATCAAACCATGACTTCATGCATTTGTTTGAGTTTATGTTAAGGGGTTTCTGCGATTCTGCACAATGTTTCTGCATTTTCTGCACAGCGTTTCAGCATTTTTGCATAGTATTTCTGCGACTCTGCACACTGTTTCTGCATTTTCTGCATTTTTGCACATCATTTCGGCAATTTCTGCATTTCTGCACAGTGTTTCTGCATTTCTGCACGTGTTTCTGCATTTTTGCAGTGTTTCAGCATTTCTGCATAGTATTTCTGCGAATCTGCACAGTGTTTCTGCATTTCTGCATAGCGTTTCAGCAATTCTGCACATCATTTCGGTAATTTCTGCGTTTCTGCACAGTTTTTATGCGTTTTCTGAATTTCTGCACAGTGTTTCTGTATTTCTGCACCGTATTTCTGCATTTTCTGTATTTTTGCACAGTGTTTCAGCATGTCTGCATAGTATTTCTGCGACTCTGCACAGTGTTACTGCATTTTCTGCGTTTCTGCACAGCTTTTCAGCAATTTTGCACATCATTTCGCCAAATTCTGCGTTTCTGCATAGTGTTTTGGATTCTGCACATTGTTTCTGCATTTTCTGCACAACGTTTCAGCATTTTTGCACAACATTTCGGCAATTTCTGCTTTTCTGCATACTATTTCTGCATTTTCTGCACATTATTTTAGGATTTCTGCACAGTGTTCTGCATTTTCACGTGGCGTTCCGCCAATTTCTGCAATTCTGCACAGCGTTTTAGCATTTTCTGCACAGTATTTCTGCATTTTTTGTGCTGCATTTCTACAGTTTTTGTATTTTTGCACAGCGGTTCTGCATTTCTTCACAGTGTTTTTGCATAACGTTTCTGTATTTTCTGCATTTCTACACATTGTTCTGGCATTTTTTGCTTTCTGCATTCCGCATTTCGGTTTTTTCTAATTAATTTTTTTTCCTCTTTATGAAGAATGAATGCAGGAGCAAAGAAAAAGGGTTTGAATCCAAACAAAGCTCAAAGTCCTATGAAGAAGATAGGTTTTGATTTTCAGTTTCGATCAAGTGCTGAATTGGCCAAGCAATTTCAGATCAAGTACGCGTGGCATTGGTATTTATTCGATACTTTGTGAAAAATATGGCTTTTATTTTTTTACATACTTTTTTTGAATACATTTGTGTTTGTTATTTATTTCTCTGGTATAATTTTTAGCGTGCAAGTAAAGAGAACAATGAGGAACCATCTAAGTCTGAAATGTTTATTGCAACTTGTACAAAACAAGGGAAGCAAGTTCATGAAGATGCTCAAATTGCAATAGTAGGCCATGTTGCAACTAATATAGGGAAGCAAGTTTAATCTATTGGTGCAAAACAATCCTGAACTTTTTAGTTCAGATATACAAGGATTTGCCGGATCTAACCAACCTTCTCCAGTTGATGCAAGTAGCGCCCAAGCTATAAGAGGCCAAAATCTCCCACATTCCTCTGGATCAACCCGTGGTCCAATTCTTGAAAAGGTATTTAAACTCCAACTTGTCTTGCTTTTCGGTCAGTTTTTGGGGTGTTAAAAGTTCATTTTTGGGGCTGCTTCTCACTGGTATATTGGAGTCGTTTTGGGGCTGATTTAGAGCTGAAGTTTAGAAGTGCTTCGCTAGATTTTGTGGCCATTTTTCATGGCTGTCTAGGTTGCATTTTAGTAGGCTTTTTGGCTGGAGCTGTGCAGCAATTTTGGTGGTTGTTTGGAGTTGTATTTGCAATTATTTTATGATGGGGTTTTTGCTGGTGAGAATCAAAGAAGAAGAAGATAAATTTGTCTTCTTTGTGTTGAGCCAAAGCTGCAACTATTCCATCTTCTAGCTGGAAAGAATGTTTTCTTTTATAGAGATTGAAAGCAGAAATGCAAGAATTGAGGCAAATGCGTCATTGCTTTAATCTATTGGAGCAAAATAATCCTGAACTTTTTAGTTCAGATATACAAGGATTTGTCGGATCTAACCAACCTTCTCCACATTCTTTCCAGTTATCTCAAAGAAGACAAATTTATCTTCTTCCTCAATCACTGAAACAATGACCTCACATCCAAAAACTGAAAGAACCTGAAAAAGCACTATCTGTTTTAGGGTGCAAGTCAACAAATTAACCATAAAATACTAGACTGCTATCTGAAACTAGCTATGTTCTTGAGGAGGAGAACATATTAGAAGAAAACTTTTATGTGATAGCTATCAATTTTCCGTAATGACTGAACTTTACATATGCAAGCTTTTCGAAAGATTCTTAGAAATGCTGGTTGCCTTCATCTTGTAGCTCATTATTTTCAAGCTTTGCCTCAAAATGTCTACCTCCCTCTCCCTCTTGAGTTCTTGTTGCTCCATTAAAGATATTTGCTGTTTTAGAAGCGCAATGGTTTCCTCCTTTTCTTTTAGCTCCTTATGCATCTCCTCTAGTAATTCCATTTGCTCTATTTTCCAGCAGAGTCCTCCTCCTAGTGAAACAAATGAAACACATTGGAAAAAGGTTTAACATTCTAAAATATAAGTAAAATCATTTCTTTTCTAGGAAATCTTTGTCAGCTTCTGCTTATTCCAAGCAGTTTACCCAAGTTTTGTAACCACATCTTTAGAACGGGGACCCGGGATTTGGGGGGGAGGTACTATTTGTATTATGAAATTCATTACTAATGTATAAATAATTACTAACCGAATAACTAAGACTAGCTATGGGTTGAAGTCCAAAGACTGGCTCTGCCTATGTTAGAACACTTGAATGGAGATGATAAGAAATTCTCTTCTCCGTTAGCTCTCCATCTCTTTTATAAAGGAAAATTTGGTGGTTACCTGATAAAGTGCAAAGGAGTCGGTCTCGGCTGTGACATGAGATTGAGGTGAAAAAATATGTGAGAGTATATGCTAGTGACGTGAGGGAGTGGGAGTCATGGAATTTAGTGTTTAAGTGAGTGAAATGGGACTACTATATTTTGTTTATTGTACTCATTATTCAATTTTTATTTATATGTGACTGAAAAATATGCAAAACATGGTGCTACTATATGTTATCAAAGTCTTTGTTCTTCTTGACGAGCATCAAAATTTAGTTTCTATCTAATTATTAATTTCTTTTTATGTGTAGGAGAAAGTGGGTGATGCAATTGGAAATGGTGGCGGAAAGTCAATTTGATCGTAATGTGAATGCGAAGAATTTTTGGATAATTAAGATGTCTTATATTCATGATACTATATGAATATACTCACTTTTGGAAAGTTTATTGTTAATGGGCATTTTGACACATTATTTTATTAGTATGTGTATTCTTTTGGATTATTATTTTTGGTATTTATTAGCTAATTTAGTTCTTTATATCATCAAAATATATGATAATAACGCATGTGCTTGAAATAATTGTAATTACATGATATATGTAAACTGTAACTTTTTTAAAAAATTTTTAAAAAAAAATTATAGCCTAGCCAAAATTACCACGCTTTAACTGTGTGGCCATTTGCCTGTACGTCTAGCATGTATATAAGCAAAGACCACGCTTTGTAGGTGTTCCTTTAAAAGCCACGGTTAACAAGTGTGGCCTAAAAGGTAATAAAGGCCACGTTTTTTGAGTGTAGTTGTAGGGTATAAAAGCATTGCCATATGGGGCGTAACAAGCGTTGTCTTTGTTGACTAATAGGCTACATTTTTAAGCGTGACTTGTAAGGTAATATTTGAAAAGCGTGCCCTTAGGTCAAAGGTTACGCTTCTTTTGACCACCCCCAGAAAAGCGTTGCCTAAAGTCGAAAAGTGTGGCCTTTGACCAAAGACCACACTTTTTGCTAGTTTAGGCCACGCTTTTCCGGGGTAGTCAAAGGCATAAAATGTTGTAGTGGACCTTGGTCTGTCCGACCTCGGCTTTATTGATGACGGTCCGACCTTGGCTTTATTGATGACAGTCCGACCTCAGCTTTACTGATGACGGTCCGACCTTGACTTTATTAGTGACGGTCCGACCTTGACTTTATTAGTGACGGTCCGACCTTGGCCTTATGTCTTCGCGTGCCGAATTTCTCTGGTCTAATTTTGAATCATACATTACCTTTTCTTTATTATGTAGATATTTTTGAGATAGTTTCGAAAACATAGGGAAATTAATTTCTGAGCATGGAACAAAGAGGTAATTTAATTTTTTAAGGATCCTTTAGTTATAAGGATTAAAATATTAATTCCGGCATAAAAGTTTAAATTATACATCGTATTTTCAAATATTAATTCATTGAACCGAGGCAATCACTTGTACTAAATAAACCAAGGATTATGAATTTTAGTATTACAGCTTTAGCATTATAATCCTAGTATAACTTTATCCCCAAATCATAGGAACCCTAATAGTAGAAGAATGATAATATTTCAAGTAAGCTAACAAGAGCAGACATTAGTTTGACGACAAAATCGCAATTGCGGTAAAAGTTAAGGACTAGTTTGCACTTTACCAAAAAAGGCCAAAACGCTTTATATATTTGTCCCGTGGCCTTTTTCTTGCTTCCCAACAAAGCGCGTTCCTTTCTTCCAAGAATCACTGCTATTGCTAAGCCCTATTTGGACGCAGCAGTTATCGTTCCAACTTTACAGTTAACTACTTCATCTCTCACTCTCTCTGTATTTTAGGACATTGCTACTTTGCTTCGTATATTCAGATAAAAATGGTTACAATATGTTTAGAATGTTGCTATTTTTGTTTCAAATGCTGTGATCATGAAATGGGGTTTTGCAGAATATGACAGAAATGGAGGTTTATGATGAGAGTGAAGCCATTCTTCGTGAAAAGAGCCTTATACATGTTATCTTTTCTTGGTCTTTTAAGGATGTCCTTAACAAAGACCTTTATAAAGACAAGGTTTATTTTTACTGCTGTTTTCCCCTTTATCTTTTACAGTGCAATGTCAGTGGTTAGTTCTTGTAATTCTTGCCAGGGTTTTTACTCTTAGCCTTAGTAGTATCCAAATTTTAAGTCAGTAGGTGACTAGTACCATAGCATATTTATGTATTTATGTATCATGTATGTATGTATGAATGCTTTTTATGTATGTAGTGGATGTCTAGCTGCTGCTATCATACGACATCCACCCCTGATTTTAAACTAAAATCATTTCCCTATTTTGAAACTTGGTTAATAAAACATTTTGTTGTTTGTTAGACTGAATGGGTGTCTCATTTTCACACGTGACTTGTTCTTTTTTATTTTTTTGCACAAGATGAGTAGTGCATATAGAAGCTATGGGAAAAGGCATATGAAATGTGGATTATAATGCTTATAGTACTTGTTAGTCTTAGTCATGAATTTGGACAATCGGCTGCATTTGTTGTAATAAAAACCTGTCTCTCAATAAGTGATTCGGGTAGCATTGCTAGTATAAGTGATGTTATTAATGTTGCACATCGGATGTTGAAGATGATGATTTGATATACCTATGTCAAGACAAAAGAAAAAAGTACATTAGCTTCCGTGATGTTTGAGCATAATTATTTTGGTTCTCTATCTTAAGTATATTCTAGTCTTATGATCTTGAGTTATCCTTTAGGTGAAGAACATCCCTTTGACATTTCAGTCCATCACTTTGTATATGAAGTCATTCGTCTTCCCTCTTATAGAGGAAACACATGCTGATTTGTCTTCTAGCTTTGATAAAGTGGCAAGTGCATCGATATGCAAAATATTTTCTATTGAGGAAGCGGAGAGCAGTAAGCCATCTGATAAATGCTTATACATTATTGAGGTGGAAAAGAAAGAGATCAGTAGTGATGGCAGAGCATATGAACCTGAGACGGGGGATCTACTTGCCATTACAGATGTAAGACCAACGTGTGTCGATGATCTAAACAGACCCACAATGTCCTATTTACTTGCTCTGGTTCAACGAGTGACAGATGAGAAAGATTATATCAAGATCAAGGTCTTTTCATCGAGGCCCTTCTTGGTTGAACAGGGCACTTGGAAAAGTCATATAAAAGACTCTTTGTTCTTGGTTTCTCTTATAAATACGACAACAAATACACGCATTTGGAGTTCATTGAGCTTCGGACTGGAAAGGCAAAACTCTGAAGTCATTCGGAAAGTACTGGAACCTGGATTTTCTGTGACGGTAAGCTTCATACTTTTCTCACTTGTTATTGTGCTCAAACAGTCTTACCTGAATGATACATCTTCACATTTCCTTATGAATTTTCGCGTCACTATTAGATGACCTTTTATCAACCAAATTCTTCAAACTGTTACTTTTTCATTCTGTACATAATATGAAATATTTGGCTTCTTCTATTGCCTTTGCAGGGTAAGGATAAATGTAATCTCTGTTTGCAAGGGGAAGTGTATAGATTATGCAGATCAAAGATCCTTGCAACAAATCGGTCAATCAATCTTAATGATTCCCAACAAGAAGCAGTGTTGAACTGTCTCGCGACACAATATTGCCATCACGAGAACACGACTAAACTAATCTGGGGTCCTCCTGGAACAGGGAAAACGAAGACAGTTAGTGCATTGTTGTTTCTACTTCTGAGCCTCAATTGCAGAACAGTAACTTGTGCTCCAACTAATGTTGCAGTCCTAGAAGTTTCTAGACGAGTTTTGAGGCTTGTGCTGGAGTCATCTGAATTTTTGACTTACGGTCTAGGGGATATAATTTTGTTTGGAAACAGAAAACGAATGAATTTCGATAACCAAGATGCGCTACTTCATATTTTTCTTGATCATCGTGCTAAAGTTCTAGCAAGGTGCTTTACTCCTGCCTCTGGCTGGAATTACTCATTGCAGTATTTGATAACACTACTTGAAGACACTGAAATGTTGTACCAGTTTTATTCCATAAATGGTCAAGAGGAAGATGCTGATGCCGAACTTTTTCAGGAATATTATAATAATGCTAATTATAATAAACAAAGCCTGAATAAGGAGGACAAAACCCCGAGGTTATGTGCTCAAGACTTCAAGGACGAGTGGAACAAGAGACTTTGGCAAGTAATTTCTAAAACAATAAAATTGAATGATGAAAGTCAACTTGACAGAGGGTTTTCTCGGAAAAAGAAACATTCAAGATCTGTTCCTAGAAAGTGTCATAATGATTTTCATCAAACTAAAGAAAGGTTAAATTTTGAGGACTTTGTGACTAGCAGATTAAATTGCAAACTGGAGGCTTTTACTTTCTATGTTGTTAACTTTGTCATGCACTTGCCAACTTCACTCCTGTCCGTAGTGGTGGCAAAAGACATGATCAAAGCTGTAAACTTACTTAACTCACTTAGTAGCTTATTGCAAAGTATTACCTTTAAGGGTAGAAACTTGAAAGAAGTCTTTGTTAGAAACAAAGAAGTGGAGAGACAAGTGACTGGCGACTCTTCTGATGCAGAATTGGCCAAACAAGAGTGCCTTAAGATACTCAAATCCCTTCCTAACAGATTTTTTGAACCTGAAGATGAGTTCTCAATAAAAAATCAAATTTTGAAAAATGCATGCCTGATTTTCTGTACTGCTTCAAGCTCCTTCAAATTGCATGATACAGATGCTGAATTGCTGGTTATTGATGAAGCTGCTCAGCTTAAAGAATGCGAGTCAACTATCCCTCTACAGATTCCTGGTCTCCGTCATGCTATACTCATAGGGGACGAGTGGCAACTGCCTGCCATGGTTAAAAGCAAGGTTGTCATGTGCTACTTTAAATGGTACCTAATTATAAAATTACTGCACAGTAAGAAAGTAAGATGTTGTTTTCTAATTAGGTTTGCGAGGAGGCCAAGTTTGGGCGGAGCTTGTTTGAGAGGTTGGCACTTCTGCGATTCAAGAAACACCTTCTTAATGTCCAGTATAGGATGCACCCGTCAATAAGTTCATTTCCCAATAGAGAATTCTACCAGAATCAGATTGTAGATGCTCCAAATGTCAGAAGTGCAGGATATCAGAAGCAATACCTTGAAGGTGAAAATTATGGTGCTTATTCTTTTATCAATGTAGCATGTGGAAACGAAGAAGTCGTTGATGGGCATAGCATCCGGAACATGGTAGAGGTAGTGGTAGTTTGTGAGGTAGTTGCCAACCTCTTCAAAGGTATACTAAGTTTGATTTAATGGCATTATCAAGTGAAGATGCACAATAGATCCATTCCAAAATTACTGGTTTCCTGATTTTTTTCCCTGTTACAGGATTCATTGCCTCGGGAGAAAGGATTAGTATTGGTATTATATCACCATACAATGCTCAAATTGCTGCAATCAAAGAGAACCTTGGAACTAAATATAGTACTGATGATGAGAGTGACTTCTCGGTGGATGTCCGATCAGTTGATGGTTTTCAAGGAGGTGAGAAGGATTTAATAATAATCTCAGCGGTACGCTCCAATGCGAACAGATCAATTGGCTTCCTTTCTAATAGTCAAAGGGTTAATGTAGCACTAACTAGAGCAAGGTATTTCTTTGTTTCAAGATACTTTGAATTTATTACTCCCCGGGGATTGTCCATGGTTCTGTAAGAAGCTTGCTTTTTGCAGGCACTGCCTCTGGATATTTGGCAATGAAGCAACATTAAAAAGCAGCGGTTCTGTTTGGAAGAAACTTGTACATGATGCTCGGGTTAGGGGCTGCTTCCATGATGCTCAGAATGACAAGGACTTGGTGAAAGCTATGGCAGCTGCCTTGATAGATATTGACCTTCTTGACATTAAAATACGCCTTTATTCAGTACTTTTTCAAGGAACAAGGTGGAAGGTATGCTCCTTGAGTTTCTAAAGCAGAAATTCTCCTAAATCAACTGGCAATGCGCTTCTACTTGCTTTATTTTCATTAGAAAAATGTCTTTTTACTCATTATTATCTAACTCTTGTCCTATTTGTGCCACTTTCTTATTCTCCAACAACAACAACAAACCTAGTGTAATTCTACAAGTGGGGTTTGGGGAGGGTAGTGTGTAAGCAGACCTTACCCCCCCTACCTTTGCGAAGGTAGAGAGGCTGTTTTCCCTTGTGCAAATTTTGTCACAGGACGTGAGTAAGCCTTAAATAGAATTAGAACCTTACACCTAAGTAATGCTGAGCGAAGTGCAAGTACTAGGCTGGACACCAATCCTGGGACACAAAATTCAAGATGTTATTGAACTGTGTGCATAATTAATAGTTGAAGGAAATATTAAGTAATATTTGAAAGTTTGATAGAGAAAGTATATAAACAAAGGTGAGTGGCTTAGAGAAATATCATATCTAATTTAGACTTGATTAGTCAAATAAATTACATTCTTAAAACTGTGTAAATATATAAAATAACTTATCATTGGAATAGTGTCCAACATTTTAGGGCATATCAATAAAGAGTGCATTAAAATTGAAATGGAGATAATAGGCTTTTTATTTTTTGTAATTTCTTTTAAAATATGTGTCAATCGATGAGGACTAGAGCTAAGGCAATACATAAAGACCAGTGAAAGCAATGCCTTTCTCTATATGAAGAAGATGAATAGTGTCCAACATTTTAGGGCATATCAATAAAGAGTGCATTAAAATTGAAATGGAGATAATAGGCTTTTTATTTTTTGTAATTTCTTTTAAAATATGTGTCAATCGATGAGGACTAGAGCTAAGGCAATACATAAAGACCAGTGAAAGCAATGCCTTTCTCTATATGAAGAAGATGAATTGAGTAACTACAAGTTATAATTTCTTTTTGCTTGTTATAAACTCATGTGTTTAGGGAATTGTTTGCGCTCCTTCCATCCTAATTTTGAAGATTCCCTTTGATTAACTCGGAGAATGGGCCAAAAAAAAAGGGGGGGGGGGGGGGGGGGGTTATGCTAAGGTTGGTCGTCAAATGTTTTTAATTTATGGTTAAAATGTTGTGGAAGAGTGACGTAGATTCTTCAAGAACTGTCACATAAAAATTTAATTACCTTTTTTGGGTAATAAACTGTGAAATATTACCACTGACAAACAAAAACAATTACATCTATAGATCACTCAGAGTTTTTAGCCATCCTGCTTAGCTACTTAGCCTCCTACAATCCAAAAAAAAAAACTGATATCTAAACGCTACCATAAGAAACAACAACCTAACTACATATCTGTGTAATCAAGGACCTACAGCTATAACCTCTCTTTTTACATTTATAAAGATCTATCATTTCCCTTGCTTCCTTCTGTATTTGTGTCACTACTCATCAGTATGTACATGTGTTTGTTTGAATCTCTTCCAGTTCCTTGCTCTCCATATGTGATATACCATTGCACCCCATATAGCTGTGACATTCTCCTTGAACTGCTCCCAATGCCTTCCTTTAATCCATTTCAAAGTCTCCTGTATGTTCTGTCTCTGCAGTTTGATCCTTGACCACTGTTCGATTCCCTCTTGTACCTTTGATATCCACTTACATTCAGAAAATAAGTGAGCTTGAGTTTCTCTCAGTGAGTCACACAGAATATTGATCATTCTCAGTTGGTATTTGCAATCTATGCAGCCTTTCTTTTGTAAGCAGTTTTTCCTTGTGTGTCAGCCAAACAATGAACCTGTGTCTTGGTAACATTATAGAGCTCCATATTAGGTCTGCCTCTCTTAGTCTCTGCTGTGCTCCTATCATACTATTATAGCTTCTTGCGACTGAATATTCTCCATTGGAAGTCAGTGTATATGTTCCATTGTTGTACCATTCTTTCTTAGATTCTTTGGTTACCATTATTAGTACTGTTATTATTATTATTATTATTATTATTATTATTATTATTATTATTATTATTATTTTGAAATGGGAACTAGTTGATTTTTATATTTTATTTTTATAAGGTAGTGTTTATGTAAATGCTGAATTCTTGGAAACAAGATGTTTCATGTTTGAGGAAACGGGTTTAGAGACAAATAGGGAGAGTGAGTAAAATATTTGTTTGGAGTAGTTTGATCTGTCAGTAGTTCACATATTGTTGATCTTTCTCCATTGGTGGAGTTGGCTCCCTGTTGTATTGCAGGACTAATTGAGGCTTCATCTATTTCGTTTACAGGTAAGTGTTGATGATAACTTTTGGAAAGCAATGGAGAAAATTAAAAGCATAGAAGTCCGTAAGAAAGCAATTTCCATATTGATGAAGCTTTCTAGTGATTGGCAATGGCCTCGCACTGAACATATCACTGTCTTAAACGGGATGTCTACTCAACTCTTGGAGCTCTGTCCTATTGATGGGCTCCTTCATATTGTTCTGACTCTTGAGACTGTTATGGAGACCTCAAGTTATGTTGATGTCATGCGGGTTTGGGATATTCGGCCACTGACAGATATACCAAACCTCGATCCTTTGCTTATCTTGTGCAAGCAGTTTGATGCTCTTCATTTGAAAGATGAGTTATAGCCGTCCATTGGGAGTTCATCATCAGGTAGGTTTATCTTGAAAAGTGCGCGTGTTTGCATATGTTAGAGCATGTGTCTAACGTTACCCCAAATACCTTCTGAGCCCAAATCTATGTCAGTGTACATACAGTTTTTTAGGGTGAAACATAGTAAATCTTTTGATTCTGGAACAAACTAAACTGCTGCGTGATAACGTAAGAAAAACTTAAGAATGTAGGTGTTAAGGAAGTTCATCTAAACTTCACAAACTTGATCCTGGTGTTTGACTACCAAAGGCAGCGCATGCGCCAGCTCCAAACATATTGAATCCAAATTGATCTTTTAATTGCCTAAACGCTGAAGTAGTCGTTTGGTGACCTTTCTATGCAGTTAATAATCTTGAGGTTAGAGCATCTGATGGCTTGAAGTTACTGAAGTGTGCATACATGATATATACAAGATTAGTAGGGCATTTTTTGTAGAGATGTGGAAATGATACAACTTTTTGAGACTGTTTTTTTAATGTGCATATATAGGATTGGTTCCACTCAGTATAGAATGGGAAAAAGTTCTCTTTAATGTGCATAGATAGGATTAGTTTCATGCAGTTATAGAATGTGGAAGAAGTTGATACGGGAAATCTTTTTGAGGGGCTAGAATATTATGTTGTGTACTTTCAGTTTGCAGCTATCCCATCAATGGAGCTAACCACTTCCCTTGGTTTGCATTTATGTCAGATCTCACCATTTGAACTCATTTTGTTTTTTTAGCCTAAATAGTTCGAGCTTGTAGTTTTACTTGTCAAATCTTATACATATTCTTGAAGCAAACTTATCTGAAAGAAACAAAGCACAATGAGATTCAACCCAAACATTTTGGAGTAAAGTAGAACATTATAGATTTCGCTGGAGATATTTATACAGCTGATGTAGGACTTTGTACATTTTTAATAAAATATTACCAGTGCTCCTAATTATAGGGTTTGTGCGTGAAGTGAAGATTTTTATATCTATTAGTTTTTGTTTGGTTATGTTTTTTACCTCGACGGAATTAATGTGTGAGAAACTTGAAGTGACTCCAAACAAAGAAAGGGAAATTTTGATACTTTTTTCCTTTATGTAGCCTCCAAACAAAGGTTAAATGTTATTAGCAAATCGGCCTTGAAAATCTCAAGGACCATTCTTCCTTTGGAAGGAGAAGAGAAAAACTGAAAGCTATTGCACTGAAGTGATGACTGCTGCGGAAGGCCGCTATTGGTCCGTATCCAAAATATGAGCGTATTCTTATTTGATTGATTCAAACACATTTTGTTGAGACATATCAAGGATTTAAAGCTAGTAGATACCACATATGTCATATAATTTTAAAGATTTTCCTGAATTTATATAGCCGTGTTAAAACCGACATAGTAGGTTGTGTTGATGGAAAAATCTACTCGTTTGGAGTCGTGCATATTTCCATTTGCGATTTGATACCCTGCCCTGCAATGAGAGCACATGGAAGCCAAATCATACATTCAAATTTTAGAAATTCGCACCTAAGTCATGCATCTTATTCAAAAAACGAAACAAAGATCACCTCGCTCTAAGCTTCATTCGCGTAGGCTTTATTCAATTGAAATATTAGTGGTTCGCATGTTTGATGTACGAGTTAGTAAAATTAGCAAGAAAACGTCATGACGTTAATGAGCATTCTGTAATATATATTCACCAATTCGCAAAAGCTCATTCACCTCGTCCAACACACAGTTTCTGAAAAATTGACGGCATTTTCTAAAGAGAAGCTGCTTTTTGATTGTTATGCAAATAGCTTATCCATCGGCACTTGGAAGATGGAAGTGACAATTTTGGGATGGTGAAAGCTCTCTGCAGCATACTGACAAGCTCCACAAAGCACTACACTTACACTAGGTAAAACGACTAATTGAAGTATTGCAAATTACACTTGCATTCAATACAAACAAATTCGGCCAAAAATGTTAACCCTCAATAACTGATGACAGCTCTGAGCTTTTACACATTACATGAACGAATACAGTGATGTGACCAACTGTAGATAACTCAGCATATAAATTCTCAATGCGCTTTTCAAATAGCCAGAGTCGACACACCATTCTAAGGATAAAACTTGTGCTCTTACTGTTGAACCATATCACGGGTCAAAAGGCCGAGATGAACCTTTGAATCTTGGATTGTGCCCTCTCCTTCTCTTCTGGCCCTTCCAGATCTCCTATGTTGTCATGATATTCCTACGTCGCAAGTATAAACTTCAATATCAGATCAGACTTTAGAGTACCTTCAGAATAAGGGAAAGACTAGGCCTGACGATGAAAAAGTGAACTATATAATAGGAAGGAAAACAGCTTCACATAAAAATCTGTATGAATTTCATTAAGGAGATTAACACAGACTATTCATGAAGATGGACAAGGAAAGTCATTAAGGAGTTCTTCCTTCCAGATCTATCTTCACAAGTTACCACACCACAACACCAAAGTTATAGTCCAATAATCCAAGCATGAAAGAAACAATAGTCACTTGTTGAACAAAATCCAGCGGAGAGATCGAAAGATCAATGCACTTCGAATAACCGGTGCTAAAATTGGAGTTTGCACTAATAGGCTATAAGTCCTAAGGTATAGCTCTCGCGAGTTAACCTTGTCTCCAGATGTATCCAAGAATTTTCACTTTGTTTTTTTTGGATAAGCAGAAGAACCCAGGAACAAGGTATAATATAACTACCTTAAAGCAAACATAAGAAAATGAGGAGGAGGGAATGACACAGGAAAAAATGACGCCATGAGCAAACACCTGAAGTATATCTTGTACGTCTTGCTTGGTCAGCTTTTGTTGCTTTAGCAAAAGTTCAATCCTTGCTCTGATACGAGGATGCCTGCATTAAAAAGAACAATCAAGCGGGAGGAACTTAGATATATCCCAACATCAGAAGAGAAAAGTATGTCAGGTGCCAAAACTTACTCAGAGGTCCAAAGATGACCCAGGATAACAGCTATCAACTGCAGGATCAGGGAGAAAAAGGAAGGACGATAAGAATGCCGAAGATGTGAGGTGGTAATGTGCCGTAGAAGAGATGATAACTACAAAAATAAAAATGCAACAAATTTTTTGACCTGAAGAGTGTAAAGTCCAGCTCCTAATTTCCTATTGTACTTCTCATCTTCATCCATCTACAAACATGATTAACATAATGGCAATATAAATAAAATGCTTTAGAGAAAGACATAATGACAGAGCAAAGAATAAGAAGTAAACGGACCTCAAAATCATCAAGTTCTAGCTGGTCAAACCGTTCAGCCTCAAGTTTCACTCTATTGGAATATCTGCAAAAGTTCCAACAACAAAAAAATTGAAAACCAGCACAAAGTAATGAAGTAGAACTATCAGCCTCAAGAGAACCACTGCTTTCTTGCACAGCAGAAGGAAATAAAGCAGGGTACTAGATATATATGTTGCATGAACAATCACCTCATGTAGAGTTCCATAAGCCTGTCAATTTTTTCGCACTCGTTCTCCACAAACTTACTTAACAATCTATCCCTTCTAGAACCTCTCAAGATTCCTCCTGTAACAGAAAAAACTGAAATTAATGCAGTCATATCCAAGGTATATGGGAGATTCCTCCTTATTATTAAACTAATTCTTATAAAGAAAATGCAGTCACAACCAAATATAAGGTAACGTTTTCTCTTTTTCTTCCCGCCCCCTAAGAAGACCCAGCAGAGACGCTAATTCTTATGAAAGAGAAAACAAGAGATGATGGTACCCCCATTCCATACAGTTTAGAGATGCATCACTTAAACTAATGTTCCATCCTCCTACCCTTTCCTGCCAGTCTTTTCAATTATTTCTTCTTTTTTTTCTCTCCATATAAAGAGAAAAACACAAAAAGTTGACGTCCTCTCTCGCCTATTCCCCTTTTATTCTTGAATCATCTAGAAGAAAGTAAATATCCGTTTAGGTATGCATTTTTTTAGATGTAATAAGGTTTTATAAGAGTATCCAGCAAAAAGAATATGCTGTGATGCAGTTACAAAAGTGAAGAAAAAGAATATGCATTTAGGTATGTATGAATATGCAAAACTTTTAACTGTAGCATTAAGCACAAAGGCTGACTTCTGGATTGTTACTTCTTTTTTTATTTGGGGG